GTCGGCAAAATTCAACGACCTAGCGGCGGCGGCGAGGCGGCGAGCGGGACCGGCGGAAGGCGGAAGGCGAGGTGGAGCACATCGAGCGGTGAGCGGTGAGGCGGCGGCACGGCGAGAGGCTGTCGGCGAACGGTGAAGTGGCACACGGCACACAGAGTGACTCCGACTTCGAGCGGAGTGGCAGGTAAATTGATGGCTGGACCCTGAACTGAAGTACTGAACCTATTGCCTTTGCTCATGAAATTATCATGGTTCATGAATTCTGAAATTGATGGTTGAACTGAAATTGTATGTGTCTGTCAACTGTGAAACTGTGATACGCCTATGAACAGAAATTATATATGTATGAGATGCAAGCACCCGTAATACTGTGGCCAATAACCAACATTACGTGTAAAAAGAGAAAAAAAAAAATACTTAAAAATACTAAAAACACAACCAATAACACAATAACTCACAGAACTGGGCTCCAAAAGTTCACACCGAGGAGAAAAAAACTAAGATATATTCAAGTTCCTCAACCCACTTGAACATATATCTTGTGAATTTCGGCCTAATTAGTAGGTTGAGCTACCTTCACAGACTAATTAATACCAATTCCAGCCTTCATAATTTGTTTCAGCCTTCATACTATGTGTTTGATTTGCTTTTCTTTCATAGGATTTTTGTTTGAATTAGTTGAATGGTTGTCATTTGTAATGTTTTAAATGATGGTTTACATTTTCGGTTTTCGGAAACTAGTGCATTTCTAAAATACTATTTACATGTTTTAAATCGTTATGGTGTTGTGTGTGTGTGTGTGTGTGTATATATATATATATATATGTGTGTATAGATGTGTATATATTTTTGGATCCGTCATAGCTTCCACCACGCCATCCGCGATGGATATATGACTTTTTTTGGCTTTCCTCCATTGGCCGCCATCCGCTATCAATAACACCGTCCCGCACTTTGAAAATTTTGTAGATATGTAAAAAAGTAGTTTTGATCGTGACTAGCACTTGAGATGTACAGTGAATCTCAGACCTACTTAGCTTGCTTCCTAGAGTTTGTCCGTATCAACTTAAAAATTTTTCGTTTTATCATGGACTACTTTCAATTTGAGTTTTATGAAGGACTATTGTTTAACTTGTACTTTTGGTCAGAAGCATTCGCTGTAGTGTGTTGTTCAATATTTTACTATTTTTCTATCATATCACAATTAATTAACTCTTCATATCATATCACTTTACAATATTCAAACTATAAATTCTTCCACTAACACTTCATTTTTCCAACCATTTTTTCTCAAGTGAAATGATATCCAATAGCACCAAGATTTCATATCAGGTGATGCTTCAACAACGTAGGTGAGGACAGGATTTTAGTTTATCGAGATATAAGGATAGTAAGAAGGTGATGGACCTCAAACCATTCAAGCTCGACATTGATGAGCTCATCCAGGAGTTTGCTGAGGTACTAAACACAAGCACAATTGTTCTTATCTTTTTATTGCTAATATGCACACTTACTAATTAGCTTTTGTCTTAAATGATTCATGCTTAATTCTTTATATATTCTCATCTACAGAGTGAATCAACTACCTTGACTGAATTCAAAAAGATCTGGCTTTCGAGGAAGTTCTCATTTATATTCGAGGCTAGACCTTCCACTAACCAAGGTTTCTTTATGCAGTCATTGTATGCGCATTCCATTGGTAAGTAGCTTTTTATGTTATTCATAGATATGCAGACCAGCAGACCAGGAACGATTGTTTGTGTAGTGAAGGGGTTTCTTTACTCTCTAGTTTATGTTGCAAAACAGGGGTAAGTCTGCAGTTAGACATAATATTTTCCCTTAAACCAATTTGTAAAACTATGCTAATCTGCTAGTTTGGTTGTTATTTTCAGTTTGTCATTTGTTTCTTTGAAGGTACACTTACTATTTTCAACTTTTTTTTGGGAATCTTATATGTGAAGAATAATGTACAGTAAATCTAACTAAGGCTTGGGGAAAATATCAGAAGCCACAATCTGATCAAGATCCAGACTTGTGTGATTTGCACGAGTTATTCATACCTTCTGGTTTTGTTTTTGTATAACGAGGAAGTAGGAAAAAAAGTAGAATACTCAGATTTTTGGGTTGAAGTTTCTTGTCTTGGAAAAGTTAGTTGTATGGTGCAGTAAGGCAGGCATCCTAGAAGTTGTGACTGAAACATTCAGGATTATTCATGATTGATAGGCTTTCATTTTTTATGTGTTAAGATGGTCTAATTTATCAAATAATTGCTATAATTTTTTGTGGTTGTAGGTCACATGATTTCAGCAGGTTCTCTCTCAACTAGATTGGGTGGCCTCTACTGCTTGTATTGCTTGTACGAAACACAGCCATTCAAGCCACCTTCCAAAATTTATTTGTCTCTTGGTGAGTGTACTACAATTTTGACTGATTTAAGATTGTGTTCGGACTTTAAATTTGTTGCCAAATTTTATCTGATGTTGAGTCCATTCATATGGCGGTTGCCAATGCTTATGTTTTGTCTTTCCATTTTGTAAGTCATACTCTGGAAAATACTCATTGTTGAACTTTTAGTGGCTTTGGAGTAATTCTGCATTGTGCTTTGCATCTTACATGATACTAATAGTGGTCCTACCTGATATCATAGTAATACCTGTGTGTTGGAATAGTCATTCGATAATTCTAGTGGTCTTATGAATTGCGTTAGCTTTTGAGGAAACATGGTTTTTAAGAAAAAAATAAGGATCTGTTAGGATATGACAAACAACTAGCACAGCTGACGGTAGCATTTTAAAAATAAGCATTTTCTTGATTTCTTGATAAATTTTGGCTGCTTATGGTTTTGGTCTACTTTCGTAATACTCTCCTGAAAATGTATTGGGTGAGGATTAGAAGTTGCAGTGTTTTTCCCTTCCCACTAGTGCTGCTCTCTACACATTTCGGCTCTTAGATTTGTATGTAGTGATAACTCTTCTGTTTTGGCATAACAATGTTGAACCTAATGATATATGGTTTTAACGATTTGCTGCTGCATACCTTAGTCAAGATGATGTTCTGAACCAACTAAACTAAAACTATCAAGGGGCGACATTTTTTTGCAATGCTGTGTAGCATTTTAAGTTAAAATATTGAACAAAGAGCAAGAGAACCTAGTGCGTTTCAATGTAAAGATTAGAAAGGGTCTGGTGATTGACCCTTTGCATTTCGTAGAATTCATCTCTTTTCATCATCAATCATTGTGTTCATTTTTATTGTGTTTTTAATTCATGTTCTCCTTTCCGGCATGCAGTTAATATTGGCTTGCAAGTTGCTTTTGCAAGACCTTTTGAGTAATGATTGCTTGTCATGTATGTCTCTCTTTTATACTTTTATGTTATTAGCAAGAACTAGCCACAACTTCCCCATGAAATTGGCTTCTTATTATGCACATTATGGCTATTGGGTAATTATTGATCAAATGTCTTAGCTATTAGGGCTTGAGAATTAAGTAAACAGTTGGATATCTAGTCTGAGAATTGTTCCATATAAAATTAAGCAGATCCAGTTTCTTATCATTCATGAACTAATGGAGACAGACCAGGGTGTGAAATGTAGCATATATGAAAGTCTAGCATTTTATTATAAGAATAATTTCTTAGAAGGTTCCATTGATGAGTTACCTGTCACTTTTGTTACCCTTTTTGTTGTATCATCAAGTATGCAACAGAATGAAATTGTATGTTTTTTTTTCTTCAATATTACTTATAGCCTGTGTAGATTGTGGTTTTGGTAGTGGCTGAAATAAGATTAGGGACTTGAGCTGCAACGAGAAGTGACAGGTTGTGATTTTTAACTCTTTTTTTTTTTTCTCTTACAGGCGAGTTGAGGCAGCTCAAGACCCTTGCTCTTGAGGCAAAGACAAGGGATGTGAAAATGGTTTCTACTTTACTGAAGAGTATGTTTGAAAGGAACATGTTTCTTTTCGGGTTTGTAGGTGTAAATGAAGACTCTGCTACAAAAAGAGTGAATGAGCTTACAGATATACAGAATGCTCGTGTCCAAACAGCTTATAGGAAGTGTGAACTTATATCATTTTTTCCAGTGTTTTTTTATTGGCTTCTGCATCATTTCTGTCACAAAATGATATCTGTTACTGTGTCTGACAGTGATGTCGTGGCTTAATAGGTTATTTGCTGATTCGCGACTGGGACACTTCATCCACATGGACCTGGTGAGTTTCATGATATACTCGGTTGGTTATATAAAGACGAAAGTGAGGTGTTTAGTTGTAACATGCCTGATGGAATAAACAATTAGATTCCAGTATAAGCAATGGGTGATTTGGGAAGCCTTGGCCTTTGTTTCAGCTGAATCAGCAAGTCTTTTTTGAATTTACTGAAAATTTATCTCCAAATATGGTGCAAGACCTAAATAAATGGTCACTAATAACATGCTTTTCAAGTTTAACAATGAATTATTTAATCATCACTTTTACCTGTGTCAATTATGTAAAAAATGCCTACATGCTGAACAGGTTAATCAAAATTGCTGTTCGTAGCTGTCAACCTTGTCTTTTATTGACAAATGTCAGCATATTAAAGGGTAGTTAAGTCTGTGAAATGTTCGTGTTTAGTTCATGAAAATCTCCAGAAACCTCGTAGCTATGTTGCTTCATCAGGCATCAACTATGTCTAATCGAAAGCTAAATTATTATTTTTTTTTTCTTTCACCACAAGGGCACGGAGCTTGATGTCAATTTGCTCAAGGAAAAATCATCTGATTATGCATTGGCCAAGGAAATTGCCCTTAAAGGTATAAGTAAACTCCTATTTTCTTATAGTACATGAATTTATCAATATCGAAGCCAAGCACTTTCACTCTATTTTCTTATCTTTGCTGTGAATATTTCACTTTTCATAAATAGTCGATCGAATTATACATATTGTTTGTTTGCAATAAAAACTTATCAAAAATATGAAACTTTTTGTTGCTTTGAAACTCATTTCACGCTTTCCACACATTGAATTTTGACATGAATTTCTTTTAAAGAGGCTGGCCAAGTGATAGACGTCGAAAATATAAAGCACATAGTTGAAAATAAGAAAGTGATAGGGGAGGTGGTGGAGAAGGCTGCTACAGATTGGAATTCGGAGAAAGAAATGCTGTATGAAAGAACAGGTCTTCCGGTTGCTTTACCTCAAGACCAAGAAGAAGAAGAAGAGAACGAGTATGAAAGGTACAATCAGAATATGCAAAATGGCAATAAAGAAGAAGAAGCTGATACTTTTGGTAAGGAACTAGAAGTTTTATTAACAAAAGAGGGCTGAACATTCTTGGGAAAACACATATATATAATTAGTGGGCACTTTACGGCATTTTGTGTGGGTCATTACTTTGCTCTATTTGTATTATACTAGTAATGTACACGTGCAATTAGTGTTGTTAAATTAAACGAGTTCGGCTCAGCTCGGCTCGAGTTCGTGGCCTCAACGAGCTAAGCTCGAGCTCATTTAAAGCTCGTTTGGCGAGCTCGGCTCGATAAGGTTCGTTAAGGCTCGATAATGAAATTTTTATATAATTTTTTATAGTTTGGCTCGTTAAAGTTCAAGATCGGCTCGTTAAGGTTCGGGACATTTAACGAGCCGAGCTCGAGCTCGATTTCAGGTTCGTTTTTTTAACCAGTCAAGCTCGGCTCGGCTCGTTAAGGGCCCGAGCTCGAGCACTCTAAGCTCGAGCTCAACTCGGCTCGTTTACATCCCCACGTGGGATGCACGTGGTGGTGAATAGTTTTTGGGTAGTTAAGTTCAGTATCATGAATTAATTGATGTATTAAACATATACTGATTTACGCATAGAATGAGGTATCTGACTATCTGTAGTTACTTTGACTAAAAAAGAAACAAGGAATAATTTCATAATCTAATCTAACGGTTCAGATTCATTGACGTTTTGTCCCTACCTCTCAGTAGGAAATCAAAGGTGAGTTAAATGGCTTTTGTCCCTCTTTTGGCCGACACATGTATTTTCATTTCATAAATTTTGTTCCCTACAGCTAACCCACTCTCTACCACGCGCTACCCCCAAAACTGTTTAACACACGCGCACACAATCTCTCGTGATGTGTATTGGTCGACACATGTATTTTCATTTCATAAATTTTGTTCCCTACAGCTAACCCACTCTCTACCACGCGCTACCCCCAAAACTGTTTAACACACGCGCACACAATCTCTCGTGAAAGTGTATTGGTCGATTCAATTATTCGAATTGAACGAATAAAATCAAATTAAACGATTTTACTGTTTATTGAATCTGAATTAGTTGTCTTTATCCTAAACGTGCTTTGCAATTTTTGTTTAGTTTAATTGGTTAATCGTTATATCGATATATATTATAATTTTGAATATAAATAAATAAATATTTGAATTATATATATTATGTTGTACTTATATATATTAGGTAGTATTTCTATAAAAAAAATGTCTAAAATTAAAACATTTTTATTATTATTTTTAGTTTTAAGTATGAACTAGTACAACACCCGTGTATTACACGGGTGCTTGCTAATTTTCTTCTTAAAATTTAAAATTAATGAGAAAAAATAGTTTGAAAATTTAAATAGCTTTTATAAGAATATATATTATTATATATTTATTATGGTACTTTTTATTTGTGCGACTTACTTGTGTTATATTATACTAATTTTTTAACTTACAATATATAACTACATTAAATATAAATATACCAAAAGATAAATATAATTTATTTATTTTATATATATACAATATGGATGTCAAATTGATGATATCAAAAGATGATTAAATAGATATATTATATATGTAAAACCGATAAGAAATACAAAAGTTATCTACTTTTAAAATACATTTATATTTCAATAGCTTATTGAAGGAAGCAAATCAAAATTTAGGGATATATTAGTCACTTAGTACTTCACTATGTAAAATTACAAAGAATTAAAGGGTTATATTAGTAAAAGTGATATTAAAATACCTAAATTAACTAAATAATATTTATGGAATACCCGAACCTAGATTATTAATTATTAAGAATTAATATTATTTGTCCAAACTTAATTACGAAGCATGATTCTTCGCCAAATAGGATTCCGAAGCACCAGAAAGCAGCCACGTAGGCTCAGCGCATTCGAGAATTATATATAGGGAGGATTTCTTAACAAACACTTGTATTGCACTAGTATAAATATATAGTAATTACAAACATATAAACACCCGTTTATTACACGTGTGTTGAGTCGAATATATTTTGTTTTAAACTGAATATTCATATATTTTAAACAAAAACTTGATAGCTTTTTATTTGTCACTCATTTTTCATACCTAAAATATCCAATTATTTTTTTTTCAATAATTTTTTATTTGGTACCATATAAACAAATGAATAATATTTCTTTCTTTGATATTGGAACTAATATTTATATATCAAAATCAATGTAAATAAATTATATCCTTATAAGTTATAGATATATATTATGTAAAACAATAACAAAAAATAACATAAAATGGTATTTCTTTTATCTATTTTTTTTTTTATATAGATTTGAAGTATTTATGTTAATGGTTGTATAGAACAATTTGATGAGTCAAATAAATCAGTTTAAAAGGAATTAGCGGGTCATTTGTCCAGTCTGTGCAAATTCTTTTTTCGAGCCTTCTAGAGTCGAGTTGAACCCGACACATAAATGGAGCGAGCTTTAAACAAGCTTGAGTTCGATTTATTTACTAAATGAGCTGAATTAGACTCGAGCCTCAACAAATCGAGTTTAACCGAGCTCGTGAGTTTGTTTAGTTTGATAGTATCTCTTACCACAACACAAGCCGTTGAAGGCTTGGTTTAGTTTGATAGTATCTCTTACCACAACACAAGCCGTTGAAGGCTTCAAAGCCCATCGAGTTTGACTGACAGTCAAAAAGTAACTCAATTATTAACCCCTTCGAAGCTACAATTTGAACAAATCATTAATGTCCAAACATATGAATTCGTGTAAACCCATAGACCACTTAGCTTTTAGGGAGAGGGAACACGAGTGGGCCCACGGGCTCGTTCGCGACGAAATTCATGCACACGGGCAGCCAGCTGCCCGCCTGCCCGGACCTGCTGTCTCTGACCCCTCTCTATAAAACTTCCAACTGCCCAATCATGAAAATCTCTCACTAAAACAATTTTCATAATATATATTACCATAATTTCTTCATATTGTTAATTTCAGAGAAAATAAAAAAAAAAAAAAA